TTTTTGGGTTCTCAATTGTGAAAAGTTTTTTCCACTGGAAAAAATGCGCATGCAATCTCCCTTTACTTAGCTCCTGAGAAGGAAGCCATGGAAGCTGAGGAAGAAGCTGAGAGCTTGGGGCTTCTCTTGAGTTGAAGTTCTGAGGCTGCAAAGCAAAAGGATTGTTGAGAACAATTACAAAGCACCTGAGAAAGGAAGCTGAATACTACAATCAATTACAAAAGGAATCCTCACAGGAATCCAGAATTGTTTTGGTGGTAGTTTATTATAGAGGAACCCCTAATTGTTTGAGGGGGGGGTGGGGGGGACCCCCCTTTACTAATCAGGATCGAACATTAAACCTCATCCCTGCTCGCAGACAGTCAGACGATAGCCATGTGGGAAACAGCAAGGCCGTAAACAGCGCTCGGGTCGCGCCCTGAGCTGCCACCCCCACCTCCAACGAGGTTCGCGGGAGAACGGCGTCCTGGCGGGAGAAAGCGCCGACTGCCCTCTTTTGAAGCCGGCTCGGCTGTGAGGGTGGCAGGTCAGCGGACCCAAGATCTCAAGCAGAGCAAGTTGAGCAAAGAGATGGAAAGAGGCAAGAACTGTCTTGAGCCTTGGGACTTTACAGCGCCAAGAACACAAGGCTTCGACTTGCAAGGCGTTCTTCCACTTGCAAGCGCCGCACCACTAAGGTGCACCTTCCCAGTGGCACAGGCGAGCACAGCAAGCAAAACCGCATGCAGGCCTTCCCTCGCTTCCTATAAGCCTGTCTAAGCGAATTCAGATCGAGAGGCATCGTCTGTTCTTTTTGTGTCATGTTCATGGCTTCAAGCTCCATAAGTCAAGCAGGTACGTTGGTAAACACATGGCCCTCAACCTGCAGAGACCTACCGGTACCTTTCGCATAGCACGACAGAGACTGAGAGCCAACAAGGTGACAGACATAGGCGCCCAAAACTCTCCGCGGCACGGAGGTCGTCTGCATCAGGGAGGTCGTCTCAGGATGTTCAAGGTCGGCGGAAAAGGGACATACGTGTGGCCGTGGCTTCGCATCCAGTGTTGCCTTGACCATAATGATCTCTAGTGGAACCGGCGTGCAAGAAAAGTCAACCCGTGACCTGCTCTGGGTGTGTCCGGCGAATTAGGAAACCTACTCCAAAGTCAATGAAAGTTGAGGGTGTTTGTCAAAACATGCAACAAGACCAAGACAAAACATTGGTCCCCGTGGTTTGACCAACACCCCTATGCTGCCGCCCCCATGATATCTTCACTCATCCCCATGGTTGTTGGGATGTCCCGAACCACACCGAAACTCCACCACAGCTCCACTGCGCCTGGGAAGCTCCTCCTCTTCACCGACCTCTTTTCAGGCGAGGAAGGTGAGTTGCGTAGACTAACAAGAGCAGCATGGACAGTTCCATCTGCTTCCCTTCATCGTCCCCATTGACGTCCTTTGTTTCCCACCCTTTGGCTGGACCCCAGGGTGCGCTGCCAAGGCCAAAATCCGCCCGCACCGCAGGTGCCGGGGGCGTTGTGTAGGCTCGTGTACACATCGCAAGGGAATAAGTCCTGTTAGATAAATCCTAAGCTTTAGCTTTGGGGGGGCATTTTTAGAAATGCTGTGTTTTTCAATGCTTTTGAAAAAGTGATTAAAGTTGGACCAAATGTTGGCAATGCCGGTTATACCGAGCGGGACGGATCGCATTATCGACATCGCAGACGTCTCATAGATAGATAGGTACGGAGGGATAGCTAAGTAGATAGACGGAGAGGTAGCTAAATAGATAGATATGTCGATAAATAGACAGATAGATAGATAGGTAGATACACGGAGAGATAGCTAAACAGATATAGAGACATAATTTGGTCAGAGATAGATAGATAGATAGATCGATAGGTAGATAGACGGCAAGATAGCTGAATAGATGGATAGGCAAATAAATAGGTAGATAGATAGGTAAATCCGCCCGCACCGTACAAATAGATAGATAGATAATAAAAAATAGACAGATATATAGACAAATCGAAAATTTATATAGATAGATAGATCGATAGATAGATAGATAGGTAGATATTTTATGGACATCGCAGAAATCGCAAACGTCTAGGCAAACCGCGGGATACTGTACGATTGATATCGTGGATGTGTCGGTCGTGTGCCCAGTCCGACTGGATGAGGTGAATGGTATTGAGAATGTGGTTTTTGATGTTTTCTGGGGGGAACAATCGCATATGCGGAGCTGTTTGCTCAAAGTCGGTGCGGGCGGCTTCGAACGCGAAGCGGTGTGAATAGCTTCAAGTGTTCCATCAACGAATGCGACCAAAACTATCAAAAAACCTGGATGGGCCAACATGGGCCACTAGCTCTTCCAAGATCTCGCCGACCCACGGCGACCCCACTGAGGCGACGGCGACGAAGACTGCGAGGCCTCACGGGTGCTGAAGGGGAACATGGTCAGCACGTGGAGAATCTCTCTACAATGAAAGAATAGAATAGGGTTCCGTTTGTGTTGTCATTGGCCAGTGATGGGCCAGTGATGGGCCAATGTCAGGATGGCAAAACCTCACGTGCAGGGAAAGGACTTGAATGAATGTTGGTCTTTCTTTGTCTCCTCTATATAGTCTATAATCATGCATTCACAAGATCACGTCCGGTAATATGTGTATGTTGTTCCTAGGGCAATAAAACCTCAGAGCCGCCCGCGCATATTCGTCTGAACTCTTCCTGACGCTGAAAGGTACCGCTGAATGGTATTGAAGACAAATGCTTTCGGTCGGGGCCCAGATCTTCTCGGCGCCGAAGGGATGCTAATCGAACGTCCAAAAAGGCCCTGGACGGACCTGGACCTGAGGACCTGGAACACCTGGGGCACCTGGGAGGCCTCCCTGGATGATTCCGAGCCTCCCAGGAGCAGGGCCCATGTTGCCTCAGGAGAGAGAGTCTCTCAGTCTCTCAGGTCGCCGGTCCTGTGGACAAATCCCAAAGGATATCCAGACACTTCTGGAAGTATGTATTGGTGCAAGGAAGTTAATAGGTGGAGGCCATCGCTATGAGGTTGGAGGCCATCGCTACTAGTAACAAGAAGCTACATCTCCCTACACTGGCAAGCCATTTCTCCTTTACTGCCGTGCTTGAAGCCCTGCAAACATAAACAAAGCAGTCTGATGTTAAGTGGGCTCTTGGACCTCTGGGAGTCCAATCTGGGCTTGTCGAGGCAATCGAAAAGACCCCTGTGAATGCGTTCATTGCTTACACCACTCAGACTCATATCACAGGATCTGTTTAATCTGAAAAGTCGCCAGCAAAAAGGACAATACAAAGGATTACAAAGGTAGGGGCTCCTTCTTTAGGCCTTATTCATGCGGCCGTTCTTGTTGTCCTTCACTTTGACATGGTTTGGCGGATTTCGGGGATCCCCCGGCTTGAACGACCACTGCGTGCCCGCACCAGCGCTGCGGCCAGTCTGCACATGGCATGCTGCACGTGCCCGTTGGGTTGAATGTGGGGGTCGTTTGGGTCGAAGCGTGGGGGATCCTTGCGGCGCAATGGCCCAGGGGAAGCTTGGAGTCTTGCTGCTGCGTTGGAAGAACCCGATACAAACAAACACTTTTTGAAGAATTGCAATTGAGCTACAAGAAAAGTGAAGTTCCTACCTTAGACCTGGACAGTCTTTGCACGTTCAGAGCTATTCAATGCCGTGTCCACACTCTATTCAGATGCCTGACTGTGTAAGGCACCAAAAGAAACGCTGCACTCAAGAACTAGAGCTGCTGAGGCTAGGTGGGCGCAGCGAATGCTACTCCTCCTATCAATAGCAGCTATCAGTAGCATGCACCTGCACAAAGAAGACAGCGCTTGTACCATCGACTATCTCCCAGCCTCTCCCTCGACCCTCTCAGCCTCTTGCCCTCTCTACCAGTGGAAGCGTGTCTCTAAAAGGAGGCATGTCCTTAACATCTTTACTCAGTGGATCAAGTATGGGAAGCTCTCGGGCGCGAAGCGTCCATCCAGCTTCAATCATCCAGCAAGGCGGGCGTCCAAAGCGCCTGATTGGTTTGGAGGGAGGGAATAGAACCATGAGAAGAATGAAGGAGAGGGGAAAGAAGGACGTGTCTTTCTGCACACCAAAGGGCGGTCATGAATCCGAGAGCCGCTGACCTCTCAACACTCGGCCCATACGGCCCATACGGCCCATGGGAAAGCCACTCCGAATTCCCGGCTGAGAAGAGGCCGCTGCAAAAATTCTGGGCCCAATTCTCAGCAAAATAACATGCAAATCAGATCAATCCAGACTGATCAAAAGTAACTAGTCACTAGTCACTAGTAGTAATGGCCTCCAACCGACAAGCGATGTCCTCCAACCGACAAGCGATGGCCTCCAACCGACAAGCGATGGCCTCCAACCTACTAGCTTCTTGTTGCATGCAAATCAGATCAGTCGCGACTGATCAAACCATAATTCTTGCGATCACCACATTCCACACTCCTGAGCAGCGGATGGAATTGAAACCAGAAGCCCAAGAAACCCTGGTTTGAACGCCAATCCGAGTGAACACCACACTACTCACGATATGAGATGTCGAAATCCTAAAGTCACACGAAGCGTTTTCTGAACTTTTTTTCTGAACTCACAATGGCAAGGTAGAATTCATGCCCAAACTACTCCTCAGCGACAAAAGCGTCCGGAGTAATTGTTGAGTGCTCACAGGTCTCTGTGGCAAGGAAGAAGGAAGGTGAAGGCAAAGAAAACAACGAAAAAAACAGGACAACGAGCTTTGTGTTAGCTCTACCCACCCTCCCTCCAAAGGGTGCAAAAGCAAGTCACGGCTCTTTTGCTTGGTTGTCAAGCCTGGGTCTCAGCTTTCCAGGCTTCATTCTTCATCAACCATTGCGTGCAGTCATTTTCTGACTTGCCACCTCTTCCTCCCATATCAACAATTCAGATATAGGAGTGGGTGGGTGGGAAAAAACAAGCTCTATGTCAGACCTCGAGCCTCAGGCTCAGCGGATAGGTGGGGCATTATCAACCCTCCCACCCTCCAGAACAACATGTTCAGCTCTTGTGTCATGCAGTACCTATGGTACTTTCACGAAAAAAAAACAACAACACCTACAGGCGAAGCATCCACCCACCCGGGTCTAACTGTCGCTGCCGTCGGATTTGGGTCCTTCATGAAGCTCATGAAGTCCTGCTGAGTCACCAAGCCATCTTTGTCCTCGTGGATGGTGTGGACCCGAAGGATCCCGGATCCCGGTGGTGAAGCAACCGAACACACTGGCAGCCCAGAAGGAGAATCTTGCTGGCAGCTGCTTCCCCCCAGTCCTGATCTACTGGATCTTCAACTCTTGGACTGCCCAAACCGTGGAGAGTCCTCTGGTCCAGTCCTTGTCTGCGAGATTCAGCATGTCCTGCGGCGTCCGTGTCGACCGGATTTGTAACCAGCTTTCGATCCATGACTCGACAACTGTGTGGTCTGGGCTGGTCGTTTGGGATAGCTTGTAGACCTGTTCATGCAGCAATCCATCCAAATACCCGATGAGTTCAAAAAACCAATCGAACACTGTGGTTGCAAAGGCCCGAAACATGCTGAACTGCATAGCTCAGCGTAGTCAACTTTGCTCATGTTTTTTCATAGCTGAGTTTGGTGTCCTTCAATCACAAAGCCATGTAGGCATACTGGGACAGCCTGCTAGAATTACAATGTTACAACGTAGTGCAACCAACAATAATTGTTTAAGACATGCCCCATGAGCCACGTCGCGTTCGCTGTTCCATCTATGCGGAGACGAAAATCGCCCTTCATATGGTGCCCAATTGCGGCTGAGACTTACGAGCACTGCAAACAGAAAGTGATGTCCACGACCCAAATCTCGAAGAATGCCTTTGGAGTCAGTTTGGATGGGATTCAGAAACTATTGCCGTAAACAACCCGCCACCGTAGAAGATTGTTTCAAACCGAAAATTCAGAATCTGTTCGGTGCAAGATCTGTCAGGGGTTGAGGTCTTAGTCATCCAATCTAAGGCCTGTATGATGTGCCCATGCTTTAAACTTTGCTCAGAATAGTCAAACAAAAAGTAACCACTCTCAAAACCCGCTAGCTGCTTGGCAGGCCATCCAGTTCGGCAAGTCTGCCCACACTGGGAAAAACCGCCAACCAAAGTTGATCATCCCTCCTGCAGTTCGTCATCTCGCAAATCCTCCCCCAGCGCCCTGCGTAGAACAGGGGTCGACTGACGCAGACTCGGAGAGAGAGAGAGCTGTTCATGCCGCGCGCAACACGTCACCCGACCCCTGTGGTTGGCTGACTGACTAACTTGCTGTTATCTATGTCATGGTTTAGCATATCAATCGAGTCTCACAACTTCTGGCTCCAAATTCCAGAGCCAGGCTTCGGAAATTGAATGAACAACTGGGTCTGAAGCGCGCTGCTCTGACCGTTCAACTTTTCTTCCTACCTACCTACCTACCTACCTCTAGACACGTGCCTTGGCCGCAAGACTTGAGCCGCTAGCCGTTTTACCCATAGCTACTTCGTGCTTTCTTTTGCGCACATGTTGTTTGTGTTCCCGGGCCACCCGTCGTGCAGTTTCTTCAAAAAAAATGTTCTTTGCAAATTTTCATGTGAGGTAGGTGGGTAGGTAGGTAGGTAGGTACAACCAACCACCCAAACAAACAAACAACCAAGCCAAACCCAAGCCAGCCCAACCAAACCAAACCCAACCCAACCCAACCCACCACCAACCAACCAAGCAAGCAAGCCAGCAAGCCAGCAAGGAAGCAAGGAAGCAAGGAAGCAAAGAAACAAACAAACCAACAAACAAACAAACAAACAGCCACGACCACAACAGAAGCCAACAACACAGCAAACACAACAATCACCACCACCACCACCACCACCACCACCACCACGACGAGCACGACGACCACCACCACCACCACGACGACGTCGACGACAGCAGCAGCAGCAGCAGCGGCAGCAGCGGCAGCAGCGGCATCAGCAGCAGCACCAGCAACCACAACCATCGTAACAACATCCCTTGGCATGGCGTCATGCACCAACCCGTGAAACTGCACTGCATCTTCCAGCTGCTGCACAACATCGGCCGCAACACTCTCACCTATCACCTGCGGGGTCTTACCCCGATCTGCCCCACACTCTTCAAGAAAGGCACAATCTCCCCCGTGGTCATTGTCAGCACATAGGCCGCACTCGTTCCCTTCGCCTTCCCAATGCCCGGCAACGACATTTGATGACGTTTGACAATTGCTGCCGCAGCAGAAAGCTGTTGCCACGGAGCACCAGTGTCATCCACAATCCACACGCAAAGTCACGGAAGCAGGCAGCTTGATGCATCCACAGAACGGTTCTGGTAGCCCATTTTCGACCATAGCTTATGACAGCTCCACATTTTTGCAAAACACACCTTCATTTGGGACCTCACTCCTGAGCATCCGACACACACGATCCCCACAGAGGGTCGCACTTCGCAAGGATCTTCTGGCCAGCCCCGACTTAGAGAGAGAGAGAGAGAAAAAAAAAGAATATGTATTTCAGATCTTCTGTACAAAATTTTACACCTGCACTTCGGCACCAGATAGCCGCCATAATTTTCTGCACAGCAGTAACGTACATGTGTACATGTGCAAGCTGCACAGCAAAAAGTATTAGTGTGGACTATTTAGTGTACTTCTACATATGCTCGATGTACAGGGAACGTGTGCATGTGTACTTCCACACATGCAAAAGTGTAGATGAGAGTACGGTATGTCAAACAAGTACACATGTAGAAGTAGCAGTAGCAGTGTAGAACTAGTAGGTCTTCATGTCACACATGTAGGAAGCAAATGTGGAAGTTGCAGATGTAGAAGTAGCAATATAGAAGCAGTAGCTCTGCAAATGGCATGTCTTATGAACAGAAGAACCCTTCGCAGTGCTCCCCGGAAAAAAAAAAAAGAAAAAAAAAACTCGCACTGCCTGGCAACACGCTTCAACTTCTGGAGGGTGATGAAGCCTGCCAACATCCGTTCGCTGCCGCTTAGTCCCGCCATAATGATCCAAAACTCCTGCAAACACCACCTGTTGAGCTCAGCTTAATTGAGGGAACCACAGATCAGGTGGGACAGGGAACGTCTCGGCAGCAGGAAGCCAATTCTTCCCAACCCGTCGCCCGACCTGAACAAAGCCCATTGATCCACCCCTGACAGCTTACAGAAGCCCAAAATTTCAAGTCCATAGTCACTCTTAGCAACCTGCGGTTTGTTGCGAGGCCTCCATCTCAGCGGCCGATGTTTGCAGATGCACCAATGGGTGTTCTCGAGATTGAAAAAAAGAACTCTCTCTTTGAGCTCACAGATCAGTCTTCTACATTCATCCAAGAACCCCCTAATTTAAGACCTCCCGACGATTGATCGTCCCATGGCTGCGCACCAAAGCCATCAGGATCAAACTGCTGAAAGGCATTCTCCACACGCGGCTTCCGCTCCATCATCTTCCTGCGCGGCACCGATCCAAACACCAAGGCACTGCTACTGTCATGCAGTTCAAGCAAAAAGTGTCTTGCAACACCCCTATATAACAAAACAAACATGTTCTCCTCCTCCTCCTCCCTCCTCCCTCCTCCCTCCTCCCTCCTCCCCCCCTCCTCCTCCTCCTCCTCCTCCGCTGTGCATGGGCTCCGCTCTAGCCACCCCAGCCCCATGTCCCTGCCTCATGACCATTCGACCTAAGCTGCTTGATGCCAGACGGGGTGCTTTGTTCACTGGACGTCCCTCTTGTTCTGAGACGCGCACTCTTGGCTTGAGTTGATTTGGGGGTTCCATCACTTCCTAGATCCATGAGTGGAACAAAGTCCAAAACAGTCGAACAAACACCACGGCTGCAAGACGGAAAAACACCCGGAGTGATCTCCAATAGGAGTCAATGTCAAAACATGTCAAAGCAGACCATGAAAGCAGAGTTTCTTGGGTGAGCCGACCTTTCTGCATGACCCACAGGCACAGCACGGTTACCAATGGTCATGTCAGATTCGCTTTAGGGAGGCTGAGACAACATGTGTAGCATGAATGCCAACTGACAAGAATAAACCGACAAAGCCCTGCAATACTGTAAGCAACAGCAAACAGGCAACTCCCAACAGTATTGTTAGAACTGCCCCAAGGCTCTTCTTGGTCTATCTGTCTTTTTGCTGAAGCTGTAGGTGCTGAACCAACTCTCCAGCCATCATTCCCATCCAGCTTCAACAGTCTCAGAACGTACAGCCAAAGCTGCTGAATTTCTCAAAGTTGATGGCACCGCTACCGTTGTCAGCCTCCGTCACACCATTTGTTGGAGGATGGTCAGAGAGGCTGGCCCAGCTGGTGATAAAGTAAAAAGACATTTCAATAAGTCAGAAACTGGATGGAGAGATTGGTGAAGGTACGTGGTGGAAACTTGTGCTGGCTAAAAACAACATGCGTGTAAACATATAAAATAACTATAACATATACATATATATATATATGATATACATACTACATGCAGTCAGTATGTTATAGCATATCTTCCAGAGCCTCCAAAGGGCCTACGGATGGCTGTATCAAGTTTCTGTCCAAGATTCCGGAAACTCACAAGGACATTTAAGTAGACTCAGGGGAACAGCAGAATGATGGTGCCAATCATTTCCTAGGTTTCCCAAGAATATCAGAGTGCTGCTTGCAGCTCTCTGACAGCAAAGGAGCCTCAGCCACTCCTGTTCATCCAAAAAGAAGTGCAAGCTTCACAATTATCCAGATGGAATTCATGGGATCCTTATCAGAATTCGACCCCCATTTGTCCTACTGCCCAGCAAATACCTTCACCAAACAGAAGGTCTTGGATCCCCGATTTTCCACCATCGCCATTGCCGACCTGTGCAATCATCCGATCGACCTCCTGTGAACAGCATTGTGGGTGCGGTGTGGGGAGTAGTCTTGAGATTGCTTCGAGAAGAGACAGAGGGGGAACTACAGGAATTAAACTACAGTGTAGGAATTGCTGTGGTCTGGAGGAATTGAACTAGACGGCAGGAAGGGAGGGAGAGAGAGAGAGAGAGGGAGAGGGAGGGAGGGAGAGGGAGAGGGAGCGAGTGTTAGTTTGCAGCAACATTAACATCCAGCTGCCATTCAGAATTGTCCGCGCTTTAGGCAATGGCAGCAGTAGGTTGGTCTTGCCACATGGCAATCTCAGATTGGCTTGAAGGATGTCCATCTTTATCTCCCTCATTGGTTCCCCAACAGGCACGCAAATCAATCATAGCCACTGGGGAGCCCAGGTGAAGCCCACACGCGTTGGCCCCCGGAGTTTGACCAGTTGGTCACACTGTTCCCCCATCCGTTCGAGGTCGGTCGGTCCTCATAGCTCACTTTGAAGCCCAGGTTCCTCATGACGGTGTGCAACTCCTGCAGCATGGAGCCCGAAGCGGAGATGAAACCCAAAGGATCCACCCACTCCACCGCATGTTCACCTTCCGGACCTAGGTAGGAACACGAACACGAGGGTCCGGTCCTCACAAGCTCGTTCGGCCGGGGCCGCTGTTCGGAACCAAACTCTCACGACCCGGCTCGCTGGGTGAAAGCTACTGCAAGGACGTCCATTAAGGTTCCAAAGAAATCGAAACTTGCCTTTGGACTGGAAAAGAGCATCAATCTTCTACCACCACCTGCAAGCAAATCAAAAATAACTAGAACTAGACTTATAAAATATATAGCAAGGAACCCATGAAGAATGATCATGTCTTTTCTTTGTCAGATCCCCGACTCCGCCTGTGACTCGCACCACTGGGCCACGGCACCTTCGCATGGATCTCCCCGGAGCCATCGGCGTCGCAAAGCTCGAAGGTCGCACGGATCTCCTGCCGTCGCGCATCGCCGCGGGGGGACGCGGTCGCCGTTGTTTTGGTCCCCACAAGGCTTCACCCGTCACGAGACAGAAATCACAGTTGAAAAAAATGACTGATTTCTGAAAATGCAAGAAAAACAAGGTCATCCTGAGTCAGGATGACTCAACCTGATGGTTGATGGAGATGGTTGATCAATTGTTCATCAGCGGTCAACTTTAACTTGCCCTTCACCTGTCCTGTCGCACAAGCAACCACAAACTCTGCCAGAAGAGGTTTCAAACGCAGAAGGGTCTAAAGCTTGCCCTACACCAATTCATCCACTGTTGTAAACCCTTCTTCCGATCTTAAAAACTCGGCAAAACCAACCTAATCTATTATAATCTGTTCACATCCATTTACATGGTTGCGGAAACGGTCGAAACTCGTGGCCAAATACCTTCGTTTTGTAGATTTTCAACATATGTCCAGTCTGGCAGCCGTTCCAACGTTGACGAGATGCTGTGAAGACGCTATCCCTGTCCGTATGGTGACGGCTTGGATCTCTGTTAAAAAATGTCAATGTGTGTTCACCAATCGCAGAGATGGACCCCAATCCTCGGATACCCAAACAAAGTTCGTATATCAAATGGCTGTAGCCCACGGTGTAGCTGAAGACAGTCCCCAAATGAGTGCTCATTGACCTTCCAGCTACCAGGGGCTTTGCAACTGTAGTCGGTTTAAACACAATCTCAGCTTACAATGATGTGCTGGAGACATCCCCGCGGTCACAAAGCAAGCCCCAGAATCTCTCCTCCCACAAACTCCAGGTGAACAACACGCTCTGGACTGCGTCTGAAAAAGGTCAAGATGCACCGCACTCCCCAAAGTCAGCATGGGAAAATGAGCAAGTCTGCCACCGGCGCAACTCGGGAGCTTTGGGGCTGTAGCTTGTTGGATTCGCTGCGTATGTGGAGACCAGTCTATACTTAGTCCAAAACCAGAACAATGAAAGTGACAGTGGATTCCTGTCCTTTACGTGTGCCAACCCCTCGCAGCAGCCGGGCCCGCCCCGCCTGAAGGGCTCTATCACTGAGTTCGCCATTGGCCTCCGCGGGGCCCAGTCTGTCGGGTCTGTCAAGTCCACATGGTGAAGAGAGGGGGCTCTCAGAGCCTGCGTGAGACGAGAGCCAACGAAGACGCTCACCCAGTGCTTGTGCAAACGTACGTGCTGTTGACCGCCCCTGGGCATCTAAGTGCAGCTGGTGGGTCTCACGCTGTTGGTCCCTGCTTTAACTAGAACAAGCTTGCCAGCCTTGCACCTGTTATGCACTCGGCAGTCATGCTCTGTGTCGCTTTCAACCTGTGTCGAGACTTTGAGACTTTGTCAAATTTGGAGGGGTCGACAGTCGATGTGTTCCTTTCCTAACTACGATGATCCGACCGCCTTACATGCTACCTGGTTTACCCAGGCCATTTTTTCTCTTAGACTTAGGCTTCTTCAGGGCTTGGGGCGATGATCAGAATTATCCCAAGTGGGGTGGATGCTGTGTCTTTGTTTGATGCTTTGCGGAAAACACTTGAAACTTTGGAATCCGGCTTTACAGCAAAACGTCCCAAAAAGGACTGTGACCTGAAAGAAGAACACCAAACTGCACAGGTTACCTGGATGCCTCGGAGTGTTTGGCCAATCCCTCCAAACGGCCCTCCAGCCTCCAGAAAGACCATATCTTCCACCTGGCCACATCTTCACCCGAAGGAAGATCATAGATGCAGGATTCCAAAAACAGTATTGCAATGCATTTGTTGCTTGGAAAGCCATCGTTGTGCTATCAAGCCATTAGCCCTCTGAGATGGTGATACATCTTGTCCCTCAGCGTCAACTTTTGGTATGCCTACTACTTCTTCAGAACTTCAGAAATCCTGCCCAGCAGTCAACAGCAAACTACAATGGCCTCCTGTCTTCCATACATTCCGACAAAAACCGATAGACTTTATATGTCCCGGAAGAACTGCCCCAAAAAACTAAACATCTCACTCTTAGCTGGGACCAGCATAGGTTGGCCGGGCCTCCTCTGTCGAACTGCTTCGGAATTTCCCCACAGCTTCACATCGCTTCGACCGGGACCTCCGACCGCCACGCCTGGCTGGGCTGCTTGTGGATCCGCTCGCCTCGCAGCAATCCGGCACGAGGCCTCTTTTTTGTGGTTGAGATGCCAAGCATTCAACAAATCAGAGAGGTACCAAACAGTTCTTTGGTTTGAACTTGACAATGGTGGGACTGGAACCTTGAACCAGCGGTCAAGCTTGGGGCTATCCCACACCCACCGTCACTAGATGATGATTCCTAGGCACGGGTCGTGAGTCGTGACCAGGCATTGCCAACAACATGTGTTGAAAAAGATTGAAAAAGTGAGGCAATATGGCGACAACATGAAAGTTCTTCCCCTCCCCTTTGATGAAATGCTTCGACGTGTGGTCTTGACTTCCAAAACGTGAGCATGGGAGAATATGGGAAAGGAGTCCGGTTTCCAAGGGCCGGCGGAGCTACAAACGCCACAAACGCCCAACCAGCCTGAGTGAAGACTCTCCTGGAGATGTGGCAGGTTGGCAAGGTTGGTGCTGTACATAAGACATTTATCAAAATGAAACCAAAGTATCTACATGCTTCAAGTGCCACGCTACTAGTAACAAGTGCCTTACTACGAGTAACAAGAAGCTAGTAGAAACAAGTGCCACGCTACTAGTAACAAGTGCGTATCTACATGCTTCAGGATTGCAACCCCCCTCCCCAATAGCGTTGGACCCTCGAAGCCATTGGTCCCAGCTTCCTCGGGCAGGGGTCGAACCTCACGTTACGTTCCAATCTTTGGGGGAGTACTGAGTACTGCTAATCAGTCCTTCTTGATTGTATGTGTTGTCTTGTGATGTGCCAAGGACACTATTCAAAATGTGTGGGATTTGCCCAGTGTCATCTATACTACTCTATAGGAAAGGAAGATTATATAGCTTTTGGGGGACGAGGAAACACTGTGCCAAGAACTCGATCCACCTCGCGTCGCACTCTGATCCTTCCAAGCTGGCGTCGCGAAAAAGGTCGCTTCGCCGGAGTCCTTGCTTCCACTGGAAGACAGGCTGTTTTCGGAGCTCCGCCTGACCAGTTTGCAACGTGGCATTGATATTTGGAGCTCGTGTCATTTTATGACATGTTCAGTCTTTTGGCTGGTGCAAACAGACTACCAAACGTCCCTTCGTCGTTCTGGATTTGGGTTTGGTTTCTCATGCTTCCCAATCTGAACATGGCCCGGAATCCAACCAATGCAGCTCTTTTCGATTTGGGTTCGGTGTTTCCGACAGCTTTTGGGAAGATCTAAAAGACTCCCCAGCTTCCACCAGATGACGGGGCATCCAGCCTTGTCCGTCTGCAGGGGCAGAGAAGGGCCATGAGCCATGAGACTCTGATCTCAGGAATGGATGGAGGATAGAGCACAAGGATAGGTACATTCACTGAAGATCAACTCTACAAATAGGCAAAATAGAATCAAATAGATACAAAACGATGCCAAATGAGACACTTGGCTGCTCCCATCTAATCTTCGTCCTTTTTGGTTTCGAGAGGTGTCCAGAGTGTGACCTGTCAAGGTCTAAGAAGCCCTCGCCGGGTAGAAAATGAGAATAGAAGTGTATAGGAATCCAGCGCATCCCACCTGATCGACGTCCCAAGTGGGTGATTTTGTCAGGAGATTCCCCTCTGACCAGGCAAGGACAGGCAGGTTGCTTCCCTTCAAAAGGTTGCCCCTAGCAACGCTTCGGAGATGTCTCGCTGGAGCCGATTCTACTGCGAAAATGTGCAGTTGCATAGACGGAAAGGTGCAAGTGAATTACTGTTGGTTCACGTCCTCAAGCGAACGGACAAAGCCAGGCGCGAAGAGCTCAGAATCTAGCAGCTTGATGCAGCTTGCCTGAGGTTGCTCTTTCACTCACTACAGATCTCATGAGCATTCTCAAGTGGCTTTTGATTGTTCATGTTTCTTGCGTAAGCACCAAATAACTTGCAAGTGGATCCTTCCGCGGTGATGCTTTGCTGCGTGTCCAGCAGACATCTTCCGGTGGCCAAAGCGTCTTTTCAGAATCCAATCAATAACGTATTACGGTAGCGGCTAGCGGTGCTTCTACAAACCCTTTTCGCTTCAACACTCCGCGGTCTTTGGCGGAGCCAGTGAAACCGAGACGTGCGCGGCTCCACATGTAGAACCGAAAAACAGTGCGCGGAACTTGAAACGTGCGCCAGGTCAGCGTCAATCATAGTCACAGGATTCCCAACCAGACTCATCTGTGAAATCATCCTCGTAATCCTCCTCCTCTTCACCTTCATCGAAGTCCTCCTTTTGACATGCATCAGATCAAGAACAGGAGAGAACAGGTGAGATCTTCCACAGTGGAAGTGACATGCTACATGATTTTACAAAAATAACTGAAATGTTGGTGTTGACAACCGACCCCGGAACTGGGGACACAACCGCAAGTTTGAGCCACTCATCTGACAACCGTCCGGAGGCATGTGGGCTGCATTCGTCGTACAAGACAGAATAGACACCAAGGATTTGCAGCATGACAAAAAGAGGGCTATATACAAAGGTCACTTGATGACAAGAGAACAGGGCAGCAGCTTATGATGCAAAGTTCCATGAAGGATGGACAATCTTTGGTACCACATGATACAGGGAGCAATCCTTCTGGAACTTCCGCAGGTCTTGGGATTCTCTTCTCAGGCAGCTCTGTGTCCCACTACTTGTTCCCAATGGAAGCACATCTGAATTACCGAAAAATGCAACATGTGCTTCTCATGGGCTAAGTGGCTTGTCTTCTTGTTCTCGTCGTCTGCACAGAACTTTCGCATCTAGGAACAAAGGGCATCGCTAACAGGAACAAAGACACTACCAGCTCCTGGCATTACTACTGGTAGCAAGAATGCTACTAGTAGCAAGGTTAACGCCGAACGGCTGGATCTTCCGCACATCACACGGGCGCGGTCCTCCTCCACCTCAAACTTCGAGAAGCCCAATGCACTCTTCATGCCTTTCGGCAAATGCCAGGAGCTCAACTCACCCTCCGGGGTACAGTGGACACGCAAGTAGTACTCGATACCCTCTTCCATCTTGGCCACCGAGACCATGTAGTAACCTCAATGGGCACCCGCATGGTGCCCATTTTATGGCTTCAGAGACTGGAAGAAGAACTGGCCGATTCCCTGTTGGCTCATCTCACTTGATCTTCAAGAAAATGACGGCCCCTTGACAGGCCGTTGGAAAAATCCTGCTCCAAACAAGCTTATTTGCCGATGGTCTCTTGGGGGCAAGACTAGAACCAACCACCTGCAACATGCAAGTTGGAGCTTAGGGTCTGCCCTTTTTGATGCAGCGGACCAATCAGCAGCCGACCAATGTGCTGGAAAACAGGGCATCCCTCCCAGCACCCTGGGAATTCAATCCCAAACCACACACACACACCGCATGCACAGAGTCTAGCCCTCCGAAAACATTAGTTAACTATGTGTATATAGACTATATGCTGCAACCAACAAAAAATAGAAAGGAGCAGAGTTGGCAGAGTACTCAACTAACACATCTAAGAGCCCACTTTCAGCTTTCGCTGGTCCACCCAAACCACTTCTTCCGCATCTTCCGTGCTCGCCGAGCCGTTGGGCAGCACCTCGCAGAGTCACTGCTTGGTTGGAGCACAGTAGGCTCAGGGCAAATGACAAATGATGGCATAAACCTAAGAGGTTGTTCAACTGGAATTTCCCCCTTCTATGGGTATGTGGCGAACCATAGCGAACCCTTCAATCACTCTAAACCTGTTCGCGGCGCTTCGCTGAGTCCTGAGGGGTCGCCCTCCAGAATGAAGACCGAACACATGGACGCCATGCCACACTGACTCACCTACTGTCCACGTTGTCCCACAACAAAGCAATGGGCCGAAGTGATTCTTTTGTCTCGACCAGAAAAAGACCAAAAGTGAGGCCGATCTACTTCAAGATGACTTGTTGACTTGTTGAGAAATTGGCCAGAAACCATCCAAAGATCCTGAGCACTTGGACAATAAGAACCCAAGAACCCAAGGAGCTCAAGATTGAACGACGCTTTTCCTCCACTAGGTGAGGCGATATTGTTGCGGGATAGTTGGGGATTCTTCAAGGTATTTTGATGGGAATACCATGGAATACCCCCCACCTTCTTCATCTTCTTCAGCTTCTGCATCTTCGATGGAGGTGCGCTCTTGCCCAAATACCTTGGCTTCGTCTGTTGAACCCGGTGGCCCCAGTACACCTACACGAAGGTCGTCGTCATCCGGCTAGAAAGATCCAGAATGCGGTCATGATCTGTTCCACCGTGCCTTTAGGAACACAAAGGATTGGTCATCCGAGAAATTGAGATTGGTGAGTCCTCTGAAGCTTGCAGTAGAGGTACGCCACCTCCAAGCTCATCCTCTCTGACACGGTGCCTTCCCAGATCCTTGGCCACTTCGAGATCTCCCCAGAACACGGGGGTCCAGAGTTGTGGGAACGACCTGAAACACTGTGACTTATATAAGTGAGTCTCAATGTCAAGAACAAAATCTATGCGAAGAACATCCGAAGATCTCTGCATCAAAAGAAGCTTTCCTACAACCTCCCTGAGTTCAAAATCTGTCCACTTAGCCGCGTGGCTGAGCCCCCTTTTGGATGCTATGTGCCTCCTCCGAGGCGGGGTCTTCCATGATACCTCGGTCGACAATATCCCAAACGAAAGAGAAAGGATGAAAGGGTGGCAGATGAAAGGGTGGCGGTTAAAAAAATAAAGAAACATCCCCAAACCACAAAAAGGACGTCTGAATTACCCATCGCTAACTCAACCTCCTTCCGAAACCCAACCGTGTGTTGAAAAAGCAGTGTAGTCCCAGCCCTCCATGACAAGGGCTAAGATAGCACACACCTGAATCCAATAGAAGATAATAGAAGTAAGAAAGGTGACAAGAACCCTGTTTTGGATCGGTTGATCCGTGTTGATTCACATGGCACACCGATCGGAGCGTCTCCGGACTGGATCCAGTGAAGCGGCTGTGCGCACAGCGCGGATCCGTCTGGCCCAGTACAAAGACCGCTTTGGCATTCGGATCGCCTCGGTGCCGTCGTTGGAAGCTCCGTGTGGCCACACTACACGTGGCACACGTGGGATGGTCTCACTACACTGACCATCCCTCCCAAACAACCGCAAGGCAACAGGTGTCCAAAAGCGACTTGGCAGCGTGGCTGACTTCGGTTCGATCTTGGACACTTCTGTCAGTCCGATCACCGCTGCCACGTCACCGGACTGCGCCACGTGCACGATGTAGGTATTCTCTCTCTCGTTGTTCTTGGCCTTCCCGTAGTGCGTCATGATTCTCCAGTGTCCCGGGAAGAACCGCACGATCTCCTTGGTGGAAGAAGGGGATCTTTCAGTGATACAACCTGT